ATGCGCAAGCACTTGCACGTAGTCATCATATGCTTGGCCTCAGCGTTGGGATCGAGGATGCGGTTCAAGAGTTCGGTGGCAATCATCGCGATGGTCTTTATCTTCACGGCATAGTCGGCTAAGTTCGATGTGAAATCGCACCTCTTGGCTGAGTCGGCACCCACAGCTGCAGCGTGCGACAAGCAGACCTGAGCGCAAGAACCCATCGCGGCCACGCAAGCTTGTGAACCGAACAATTCGCCCATAGTGGAGTTCAGCGCGCCAGTGATGGTCTTCACGGAGTTCGCGTCAGAAGGGTCGAACTGTGAGCACGCCTCGCGAAGCTTGGTAGCCTGGCCGTGGATGTGGAACTTAGACCCCATCGCCTCCACGTTGCTCTGCAGCTTGTTGAACTTCTGAATGGCGACCTCGTCCACGCCGCGGATCTTCGGCATCTCGGAGATGAGTTCGAGGAGCTTCAAGTTCAGGCTCTTCGAGAAGTCCATGGTCGGTGTGTGTCCTCCCTGTTCCAGCTGGGCGGTCTGGACGCCAATCCACCCGACCACCTGCTCGTGGAACGAGTCCAGCATGCCAGCAGCGGCGCCCTTGCGGAGGAATGCGCCCCATTCCAGCAGATTGCCGATGACATCCTGAATGCTAGCATCGCTAATGGGAGTGGGCCCCGATACGATATCCATGACGTGCTTGACCTTTTCCCCGTACTTCACGTCGGAGAAGTAGGCGCGATTGTACTCAGCCAGCACCTCCTGCCACTCAGCACCGAAGGTGGTCACGACGGTGCGCCACGTCGCCCCGAACTCCTCTCGCAGGAGCTTGCGCACATCAGACCTGCACGTGCACTCCAGCAGCACCGTGGGTGATGAGTCGAGCAACACGCGAACGGCCTCGGTGAACACGAAGATCTCGTAGGCGAGGTTCTTGCACGGGCCAGCCTCCTCGCGGATCGTCTGGTCGCCGACGCGCACGAGGAGGGCACTGATCAAGGCACTCATGTACTCCGTGTCGACTACGTCCGCCCGAGTCAAAGGCAAGACCACGTTGCTGATGAAGAAATCCCTGCCCTCGTCGATGATGCGGTCAGCTGCGATGCCGACTTCTGCCATCGACGGCGCCAGCGGCTGGAAATCTCCAACCTCGGGGCCTCCCTCGCCGACGCCAGCATCATCGAAGTGGGGGGTGGAAGGAGGTCGGAGGTGAGAATGGAGGAGGTACGTCGGGGGAGTGAGCAGTCTGGGGGCACGGCAGGATGGGGAACGACTTAAACGACACTAAGGGGGCAGATGTTGGCATCAGCTTGGGAGCCGCCCACCGTATAAGACTTCCACGGCAGTGCGATGTCAACCTTGATGCTCGGATCGTTGGCCTCCCTGGTCGCCACCGCCCACAAGTTGATCATCCACGACTCGGCGCCGTCGAGCTTCACGTGCCTGATCTTCTTGAGCAAGCGGACCCGCGTGTCCAGCGACATGACCTCCAGCGCGTTGCCACCGAGAGAGGTGCAGGTCTCGATATCGGCGAGTGCCGTCCGCTGGAGGCTCTCGATGAGCTCGCTCTTCGGCTTGAAGCGCTTCAAGGCGTAAATGCGATCGCCGATGCTGTGGTTGGCGCCCTTCGTCAAGAGGAGGCCCATGTTGATGCTGGCGACGATCTCCTGGTACCGATCCCTCTCCTTCGCATCGGCTGGCGGGGTCTTCCCCTTGGCGGACGGTGGCGTCTGGCACGCCGCGGCGCTTGCGCTTCCTCGACGGTCGCTGCGATTGCCCGCGACCGACGGCTCAGCAGTCACATCGAGCCTCGGAACGCTTGCACCATCTCCGTCGAGTCCGTCAGGAACATGTCCGCACGCCTCGGACTCGGGCTGCTGGGCAACGACAGCCCCGCCACTGCGAGTCGCCTGGCCGCCGCGTGGCCCTTGTGCAGCAAGCCCTGAGTCGCCGACGGTGCCGTCAACGATTGCGTCAGCGATCGCGAGCGGGCCCCCGCCTGCCACCTGGGAGAGCCCGTGAGGCCCATCGGACCCGACCAGCCCGAGCGCCCTGGCTGCGCCGACGGCTCGAAGCTTGAGCTCGGACACCGTAGGGATGTCGACGTGCCCCCTCAATGAGACGGGCAGCCCCTCCCGCAGCAGCCTGTTGATCACGTCCTCGCAAGCGATGCCTGCGCCGTCCTTGCAGTAGTCCTCTGCGCTCAGCGCCTTCTCGACGCGGCTGCCCATCACCGTGCTGAACCTGCGCACCTCGAGGTAGGGCGACTGCGGGTCCCTCGCCTAGATTCCTGTGACGGACTCGCCCTTCATCTCGTTCTGGAGCGTCGTCTCGCGCTCGCCAGCCTGAGACGGCAGCAAGGCGGAAGCCCCTGTCGGGGCGATGTCGGCCTGGTACTGCTTCTCCGTGATCAAGATGCAGTCTGAAAAGACCATGATGCCTGTCTGGTGGTCCGTCGATACGGCCTGCGGCAGGGAGGGGGCCTCGCGACTGCCGCCGATCGTCTCGCAGGCCGCCTCGAAGCTCTCGGCGAGCTCCTCGTCCTGCTCGCACGTGGCACACATCGAAGACCAGTTGAAGTCCATCCAGAACTTGCCCTTCACGTAGCCGCAGAAGTGGTAGGAGCACGCGTGGGCGAACTTCTGGATCTGCTCGTTGGGCATCTTCGCGTCGGGGAAGGGGTTGTCACTGCTCTCAGTGGCCCCGCAGCGCCCGCAAACTCCTCCGCCACTGGTGTCCGTAGTCTTCTTCCTGATCACCAGCGGCCCCACCAAGGTCGCCTCCCTCTCGCTCGCTGATGCCGTCTTGGCGCGCTTGCCACGCCCGCTTCCCCGACCGCGAGCGCCGCCGCGCGCTCCGCGGCCGCCGGCGTCCCCAGAGGGGCCGCCAGCGGCTGGGGCGGCCGCGCTGGCAGCACGCTTCCTGCCCATCCTGGCGGCGCGCTCGGAGCTCGGAGCGCTGATCGCTGGACAGTGTGACAGCACCGAGCCTACAGCGGCTGGCTCAGGCGGGTCCACTCAAGATCGCCATCTAATGCCTGAGCCAGAAACTACGACGGAGACCCTCTTAGTAAAGCCCTCTTGGGGCCCTCCTGGGGTGCTTTTGGGGCCTTTTAAAGACCGCAAGGGGTTGTCACAGGAAGGGGCCCTGCGTGACAACCCCAGGGAGCCATCTTGAAGCCATCTTGGGGCCCTCTCGGGGCCCTCTTGGGCCCTCTTGAGCCCTCTTGGGGACCTCTTGTCTCTTGGGCCCTCCTGGAGTCCTTTTGGGGTCTTCTTAAGACAGCAAGGGGTTGTCACAGGAATGCGCCCTGCGTAACAACCCCAGGGGGCCCTCTTGGCTCTTGGGGCCCTCTTGGGCGATCTGGGGCCCTCTTGGGGCCCTTGC